TAATGGCTATATCACTGGACTCCTATGTAGCTGACTGCAGTTTGAGTCTTGGACCTGATGGCTTAAAATCATACTGGGCGCGTGTGCATGCGTGCTCAAGATACTGAGAAAAGAATGGAGGGGAAGGGATTGCAGCATGGCATCCCCCCTGGGGGAGTGATTTTTTTACTATCTCTTTGATGAAAGAAAAAAATCTCTCTTAAAAAAAAATATGATATGCTCATCAGCTGAGAAGACCTTCCATGGCTTGGTGTTAAGCAAAAAATGCTTTTATTGGGATTTTAATTTTTTATTTTAGGTCCAAGGTAGCTCAGCCACCCTGGACCTAAAAAGGGTCACACTAACATCTGAAATATTCTTAAATGTCATGGAGATGGGCAGAAATCCTCCTAGCAATTAGCTTGGGTTAAAAAAAAAGTCAACAATGGGGCCAACGGGGGATGTGATAGCTAAGAAGCTGGATTCCACATGGATGACTGCAATTTGAGTCCTGGACCTGGCAGCTTGAAAACCACACTAGATGTGTGTGTGCGTGTGTGTGCATGTGTGTGCACGCACATGCACGTGAGTGTGCACACACCCAAAGTCCCATGAGGAGAGAGAGGAGAAGGGACTGCAGCACGGCCATCTCCCCTAGGGGTGATGTCTTACTCTCTCTCCACGTAACCTGAAACACGCCTGTGTCTGCTGTCTCCTCCAGCAAGCACATGCACCCTATGATGAAGTTTCACCTCCTTCACCATATTCACTGGATGTCCTGCGAACTGACCAACACTTCTTTAGGCATCTCAACAACTTTTTGCAGGGAAAATGCTTCAATGAGCAGGATGCAGAAGCTACTTTCCAAGAATTTGTCGAATCCCAAAGCACAGATTTTTATGCTACAGGAATAAACTTATTTCTGGTTGGCAAAAGTGTACTGATTGTAATGGCTCCTCTTTTGATTAATAATGATGTGTTTGAACCCAGTAATAGTGATTTAAAACTCATGGTCCAAAACCACAATTTCTTTTGCACCAACCTAAGAGTTAACAATTAATATCTATAGGATAACTATCTGAAATTTTGGTTATTTTCTACAGAGTACTAGCCCAGGAACTTAGCCACATTTGGTGTTAAACAACATGGATCAGAAGGAAATAACTTTAAAAAAATGTGTTTTGCTATCTGGCTCGTGTGTTCATTAGAGAGAAGTAGAGATTAAGTGAAAAAGCAACCTCCAAGGGTTTGACCATGCTGCAACACCTTTTCCTCCACTCTCCTCTTAGGATTCTGAGTATGTATGCACACATGGCAAACATGTGTTTCAAGTCCCCAGGTCCAGACTCAAACTGTGCAGTTGACTAAGTGGGACCCAGCTGCTTTAACCACTACACCACCTGGCTGGCCCAGAAGGAAGTAACTTTAGCTTAAAACCCAATATGGCTATGGGCAAAAACTGTCAAGTCCCAGGTGACCAAGGTCGCTCTCGTCTTTAATGGCCTAGAGTACCTAACATATACCTGCAAAATAGATGATCAAATGTTACTGGATTAAATCACTATGTGAAAAATACTAGGAGATCTTGATAGAGTTTAAATTTTAATATTTTGAAAAGTGGTCTAGGGTTGGCTCGGAGGTGCAGTGTGCTGCTCATGAGATGAGATCCCACCAATGAGTGTGGTTTGATTCCTGGCCCAGTTAACCTGAAACACGCCAGGAACACCTGTGAGCACCCACAATCTAATGAGGTAGAAGACTGGAGGAAGAAGATCATAGCATGACCAGAGTGTACTCACATCTCTCACTCACTCTCAGGTGTGAATACATGTTCTCTATCAGGAATAAAGAAAAAAAAATATTGAAGGAAAAAAACCTGACCTATTTCTTTTTAAAAAGTACTAAGTACTGGGACTAGCAGGTGGTATAATGGCTATATCACTGGACTCCTATGTAGCTGACTGCAGTTTGAGTCTTGGACCTGATGGCTTAAAATCATACTGGGCGCGTGTGCATGCGTGCTCAAGATACTGAGAAAAGAATGGAGGGGAAGGGATTGCAGCATGGCATCCCCCCTGGGGGAGTGATTTTTTTACTATCTCTTTGATGAAAGAAAAAAATCTCTCTTAAAAAAAAATATGATATGCTCATCAGCTGAGAAGACCTTCCATGGCTTGGTGTTAAGCAAAAAATGCTTTTATTGGGATTTTAATTTTTTATTTTAGGTCCAAGGTAGCTCAGCCACCCTGGACCTAAAAAGGGTCACACTAACATCTGAAATATTCTTAAATGTCATGGAGATGGGCAGAAATCCTCCTAGCAATTAGCTTGGGTTAAAAAAAAAGTCAACAATGGGGCCAACGGGGGATGTGATAGCTAAGAAGCTGGATTCCACATGGATGACTGCAATTTGAGTCCTGGACCTGGCAGCTTGAAAACCACACTAGATGTGTGTGTGCGTGTGTGTGCATGTGTGTGCACGCACATGCACGTGAGTGTGCACACACCCAAAGTCCCATGAGGAGAGAGAGGAGAAGGGACTGCAGCACGGCCATCTCCCCTAGGGGTGATGTCTTACTCTCTCTCCACGTAACCTGAAACACGCCTGTGTCTGCTGTCTCCTCCAGCAAGCACATGCACCCTATGACAAAAACCTTAAAAAAAGTCAACAAAAACTAATCACTTTGACACGTTCAACACTACTTTAGCAGTCCAAGTGACAAAAGTCTGACTAACATGAAGCAAATTACAGATATGAGGACACAGCGAGCCCCACAGCACAGTGGTTAAGTGCTGTTCTGAGGAAACCTGATTCCGCACACAGGCACATCTGAATCCCAGCTCCACCTGTGCTGGGAAGCCTGCACAAGTACCTAGGATCTTGCTGAGATAGAGAACTGGAGGAAAAGGGACTGCAGTGTGACCAATCCCCATCAGGGGTGCTTGCTTTCTCTCTCTTACTCACTTGGTTGCACGAGGGCACACACCGAAGGGTATCATGAAAAAAAAAAAAAAAAAGAAAAAGAAACCAAACATGAAGATGAATTGTGATCAACTTGAGCAGCTGACTACTGTGCAGTGGTCCTCCCTCCTTACTTGTAATTTTGCTTTCTCTGGTTTATTTACCCATAGACATTAAAAAGAGAGAAAGAGTGAAGACCACATTCACCTAACTTTTATTACAATATAGTTATCATTTTTCTCTTTTTTTATTAGTTACTGTGGTTAATCCCTCACTGTGTCTACTACATATATTAAGCTTTAACACAGGTATGTATGTATAGGAAAAGAACATAATATATATACAGGGTTTGGGAAAATCCTTGGGTTCAGGCATCCACTGGGAGACTAGGAATGGGTCTCCCCTACATGGGGGGACAACTGTAAACAACAAATGAACCCAGAAAATAGAAAACTCTACGAGAAAAGGACTGGTGAATTTAAAGTAAGGCGGGCAGAAGCCTTGAGACAGAAATAAAGAAATAAAGACAGGAAGAAAAGGAGAGGGAAGGAAGATGACTGATAAACATAAAGCAATAGTGGTAGAAAGACCCAGTTCATATTATAAGGCACTATATAAAGTAAGTATATTCAACTATTAAGCTTTGATCAATAATGAAGCTTACATGAATGTTGAACTACAGTTTCCTTTACTTATCAAAATTTTGTTGTGGACCAAAGCTTAATAGTTGAATATAGTTATTTTACATAAAGGCTTACAATATAAACTGCGTGTTAAACTTCCCGAAATCTTCAAAACATGTCAGATGAAATGTTCATGCAAAACTGGGATTTTAAAGTGGACATCTGCTCACGGACCTTGACGATCACAGAACAGTTAGCACACAACCATGTACCACACAATGACATTACAGCCAGTGATGGGTCACACACGTGGTGGTGGTGGTCCTGTAAGGAGCACACAGGGTACAGCATGTGGCCTCGGTGTGTCACGAGCTGTACTGTCTAGGTTAGTGTCAGTACACTGGCCCGGGTTTGCAGAAGATGAAATCACCTAGTGATACAGTTTTCAGAATGCACCCTTGTCAGTAACTGATGCATGACTGTTATATCTTGATTTTTTAAAAATTTACATGGTAACACTTAAGAAAACTTTTTCTTATAGAATAAGGAATTTCGTAAGTGAACTTTTCAGATGATGGAACTTTAAAGAAAACCTTGTTTTACTAATTTTAAAAGGAAACCTTTCTAAAAAGAAAACATGATCATACGGAAGCTTTCCTTCATTTACCTGTTGTCGTAACACACAAACAGCATCAATTCTGTAATGGACAACGCCTTCCGGGTCAACCAGAAGTTTTGAACGCTTTCACTCTGACACTAAACGAGCCCAGAGTTCTGTAGGTTTGCTGTTTATCTCAGTCCCCGTGTTAGCAGCTACTGTCCCTCAGAGTATCTACATATAAGCTGCATACTGAATTGGCACTTTTCCCATCTGGTCCTAACGGTGAGGCCACAGTAAGGAATTATGATTACAGGCTTTAAGAAACTATTTTCTTGAGATGACTTTTTTGTCTAATTATTGACTTCCAGATTTTCAGATGTTTTCTATGGATGGTGAGCTGCTGCTGCCAGTAGGGAAACGGAGTAATACCAGGTGTGTGTGTGTGTGTGTTTGATAAAGTATACTGGCTATATCGGAGACATAGAAGCCCTCAGGGTGACGTCACTATATCTAGAAAAGGAATTATAGTTCTGTTCACTCACAGATAGGCAATGTAGCTTAGGCTGCTCTTCTTGTCCAACCTCTCAAAACTTATCACCCTTGGAATACTTTGTGAGCACACTAAACATTTCACTGTCTTAGGTACAACTTGTTTGAAAGTGGAAAGCTTTACAGAGTAACAAAATCCAAGGTAGCTATAAGGTAAAGAAGAAATGGAAGGTGAACCTTTATGAGGAAAAGGAGCAAACCCTGTATATACTGATCGCAAGGGAATTCCTAATGTTGGCATCTTAGTATTAATGCTCAAAGTCATACAAAGATCACGTTTACTGACCTGGGGAATGCTGGGAAGTTGCGAGTGAGGTCATGGAATTAGAGAGGTTAAGGTTGGCAGTGATACTAAGCTGGCTCTGCAGTGCAGGAGGGTAAGGAGATGTGGGTGTCAGGAGGGACTCCTCACTGGTTTCTTCATCAATTCCCGGCAAGTACGTGTCAATCAAGGCATCAAGAAACTTAACAATAAGCTCAGCATAGTCTGGGATTTGTGTTTGCTGTAATGGAAAATAGGAAATTATTTTAGCTCCCCCCCTTATTTATTTATTTTTAGATCCCCTCTGAAGCCAAAACAGATTAATTCAATATTTGTTTGGGGCTTTATGTATTACTTCTCTTCCTTTGTTGGTATTACAGATCATTTAAAAATGGAGTAGAGTAATAGTTCTAGACTACCACAAAATTTACAGCTGGGAATTTTATTCGGGTTACCCTTAAAGCTTCCAGATGAACCTGCCATTTCTGAAAGCCAATACACAGAATGAATTTAATACTGAGACAACACAATCATCAGGAATGATGTCTAGCCAATTTTCCAAAACAGAGAAAATGAGCAGAGCATCATCATTCCAGCTGCCACTAAGATTCCACTAACCAGACTGTGAAGGGCTCAGAAGGGTTCTGGCCACCCGACTACAGAAATGCCAACGTGATATACTTATTTCTGTGGCTTTAGGTCCACTTCTCTAGTGACAACCTCTGAATATCAAGAGATATTCAGTACTGGGGCCAGCAGATGGCATGGTGGTTAAGGCGCTGGATCCCCACATGAGCAACCACGGTTCCATGGTTCAAGTCCCAGTCCTGGTGGCTTGCTTTCTCATCCCCTTCCTCCATCTCTCTGTGGTCAAATTAAATAATAATAATAAATAAAGTAAAGAATTCTTAAATAAAAGAGAGATTCCGTGTTAATGAAACAAAACAAAATAAACCAAACACCCAATCCTTAAAATTGGGATGTTTGGGTAATTCATATTGACTTAGTACTCCTATATCTAAAACACTATACTAGGAACTGTGGGGAGAAGAAACTGAAGTCCTGCCTTCAAGGAACTTTGATCAATTTGGAGAGAGCTCATATGCAGAGAAAATAATTAAAACACATATTCAAGTAGCACTACATCAACTGATGCCAATCAAAGAACAAACTGAATGGGAGTAAACGAGAATATATCCAGTGAGGAAAGAATCTAATTCAACGGGTTGATGTAAAAATGTTTTCATGAGATAGATTTTAATCACAGTAATGCTCTTTGCTAGTCACAAGATACTTAAGTCTGTGCACTGAAATTAACATAGGGACTGAAGGCAAAATGTTTTACAGAGGTTTCTCATACCCTTCTGAAAAGTCAACATAAAGTGAGTTATTTTTTGTAAAAACTACTGTAGAAAGGTGCTGCCTCTTTTAAAAAACATCTTGTGCTAAAAAACTTTATGAAGATAATGTATTTGCTGTGAATCACAATTCTGGTTTTAAGCAATACTGAGTGTTCTTAAAGCAGGCACACTTATATGGATAAAAACTGTCATTTTTATTGAAGGTCAGAGAAAAATATTTTTTCATACCTTTGAAAAGGGTCCTGCAAAATGCCACAAGCCATTAAAACCAAAACCTGCAACAAATCAAACATAACTCTTATAACCAACCAGACTTTTAATCCTAACAAAAATTACATATGATTTACAGCTGATAATATAGCAAACCTAGGTATACATTGAAAACATTTTTGAATGAGTGTCAAAGAAGATTAAAACTTAATTATAATGTACTCAATATAAACTATATTTTAATAGAAAGGAACTTGTTAATCAGTTATCTTATTGAACATAAAACTAAGGGAGTCTGAAAATGGCCCATGGAGAGAGAAGTACAAGCAGCCTACGCCTTCCGAAGTCCCCGTCAGTGCATTCTACAATAGCGTGCACACTGGCAAGGTCACCGACCACCCCGCTTTCAACATGTTTATTTACTTTGCAGGTAAGATGTTTGGTACTGTGGTGGGGATTCTTCATGGTACACCACACTCTGCACAATTCCGTGGATCGGATTTAACAAATTTGGATCTTGGCACAATGACAACAGGGTGTTGATCTTAGAGTCCAACAAATTATGTCTAGAAAATAAAAGTTGACAGAAGAACATTTTAGAAGAAAAACAAATTAAAAGATATAATGCAAAAACATAGTATTAATACATATTTCCAAGAACAGTGTGGCCAAAAGTAAGGGAATGAGTACTTTGTACTTTCTGTAGCTTCCGAATTTTCCATAAGAAACCTGTGTTTGCTTTTTTGGTTTATTTTCTGTTTCATTTTTAGACATCAGGGAAAATGTGGTAAAAACAAGCAACTAACTGTGTCATGTATCTATATTTTTTATTTTATTGTATTTATTCATCCTTTTGTCAGAGGGCATGTGCAGAGAGAGAAAAAAAGGGAGAAAGCACCCCCAAATGGAGCATGGTCATGCCACATTCCCGTTCCCTACTATTTCTCCATCTCATTGGGATTTGGGGCACATGTGCCAGGCATGATTTTCAAGCTGTCAGGTCTAGAATTTGAACCATGTAGTCGGTCATGTGGAACTCAGTTTCCTTAACAACTAGGCTATGGGTCCTGTGTGTGTGTGTGTGTGTGTGTGTGTGTGTGTGTGTGTGTGTGTGTTTAATTCATACATGCAAGTTTAACTACATATTGCAGACAAGGCTGTTCAAGACAAGGGTGGCTTCTGCCCACCACTTAGCTTGTTTTAGTAACAACTCTTCTGCTGTTGATGTGTACCCATGGAGTTAAAGCTAAATTTAACATTAATCAGTGCTTAATAAATTCTGAGTCAGATTGAATAAGGAAAACAAAATTAGTTTGGAGTGGGTGGAATATACAATCCAATTGAACCTTAGGAAGAAATTAACTATTTCTATCCCAACTGTACTCCATTAATAAAAATAACAAAGACTTAACTTTATAAAACTCTGCAATTTTAAAATAAGATGAACTAAAAATAAGGAAATAATAACACTACATACAAAGCCTAAATCAGAACAGAATTTACCAAATTCTTTGGGCTACTTCAATTAGTACTTTTGAGGATATTATTATATTAGCATTATTTTAGCTCTTAATAGAGATGAACTAATCTGGCCCCACAATTTTAGTGCTCAGGAAGCCAGATCCCACATGGGTGAGGAGCCGGCAGGTGGCATGGTGGTTAAAGGTGCTGAATTGTCACATGGGCAGGTGGCATGGTGGTTAAAGGTGCTGAACTGTCACATGGGAACCCACGGTTCGAGTCCCAGACCTGGTGGCTTGCTTTCTTGGTTTCTCTTTCTCTCTCCCCGCCTCACTGGTCAAATTTAAATAAGTAAGTAAAGTAAGTAAGTAAGTAAGTAAACAAAGGAAGAAAGAAAGAACAAGAGAAGAAAGTAAGTTAAATAAAATACTTCTTTAAACAAAATCGCACTGGCACATGGGCAAGCGTGCCTCAGATCCCAAGGGCATGTAGACATACTGTGCACTGAAATTAACATAGGGACTGAAGGCAAAATGTTTTACAGAGGTTTCTCATACCCTTCTGAAAAGTCAACATAAAGTGAGTTATTTTTTGTAAAAACTACTGTAGAAAGGTGCTGCCTCTTTTAAAAAACATCTTGTGCTAAAAAACTTTATGAAGATAATGTATTTGCTGTGAATCACAATTCTGGTTTTAAGCAATACTGAGTGTTCTTAAAGCAGGCACACTTATATGGATAAAAACTGTCATTTTTATTGAAGGTCAGAGAAAAATATTTTTTCATACCTTTGAAAAGGGTCCTGCAAACCGCCACAAGCCATTAAAACCAAAACCTGCAACAAATCAAACATAACTCTTATAACCAACCAGACTTTTAATCCTAACAAAAATTACATATGATTTACAGCTGATAATATAGCAAACCTAGGTATACATTGAAAACATTTTTGAATGAGTGTCAAAGAAGATTAAAACTTAATTATAATGTACTCAATATAAACTATATTTTAATAGAAAGGAACTTGTTAATCAGTTATCTTATTGAACATAAAACTAAGGGAGTCTGAAAATGGCCCATGGAGAGAGAAGTACAAGCAGCCTACGCCTTCCGAAGTCCCTGTCAGTGCATTCTACAATAGCGTGCACACTGGCAAGGTCACCGACCACCCCGCTTTCAACATGTTTATTTACTTTGCAGGTAAGATGTTTGGTACTGTGGTGGGGATTCTTCATGGTACACCACACTCTGCACAATTCCGTGGATCGGATTTAACAAATTTGGATCTTGGCACAATGACAACAGGGTGTTGATCTTAGAGTCCAACAAATTATGTCTAGAAAATAAAAGTTGACAGAAGAACATTTTAGAAGAAAAACAAATTAAAAGATATAATGCAAAAACATAGTATTAATACATATTTCCAAGAACAGTGTGGCCAAAAGTAAGGGAATGAGTACTTTGTACTTTCTGTAGCTTCCGAATTTTCCATAAGAAACCTGTGTTTGCTTTTTTGGTTTATTTTCTGTTTCATTTTTAGACATCAGGGAAAATGTGGTAAAAACAAGCAACTAACTGTGTCATGTATCTATATTTTTTATTTTATTGTATTTATTCATCCTTTTGTCAGAGGGCATGTGCAGAGAGAGAAAAAAAGGGAGAAAGCACCCCCAAATGGAGCATGGTCATGCCACATTCCCGTTCCCTACTATTTCTCCATCTCATTGGGATTTGGGGCACATGTGCCAGGCATGATTTTCAAGCTGTCAGGTCTAGAATTTGAACCATGTAGTCGGTCATGTGGAACTCAGTTTCCTTAACAACTAGGCTATGGGTCCTGTGTGTGTGTGTGTGTGTGTGTGTGTGTGTGTGTGTGTGTGTGTGTTTAATTCATACATGCAAGTTTAACTACATATTGCAGACAAGGCTGTTCAAGACAAGGGTGGCTTCTGCCCACCACTTAGCTTGTTTTAGTAACAACTCTTCTGCTGTTGATGTGTACCCATGGAGTTAAAGCTAAATTTAACATTAATCAGTGCTTAATAAATTCTGAGTCAGATTGAATAAGGAAAACAAAATTAGTTTGGAGTGGGTGGAATATACAATCCAATTGAACCTTAGGAAGAAATTAACTATTTCTATCCCAACTGTACTCCATTAATAAAAATAACAAAGACTTAACTTTATAAAACTCTGCAATTTTAAAATAAGATGAACTAAAAATAAGGAAATAATAACACTACATACAAAGCCTAAATCAGAACAGAATTTACCAAATTCTTTGGGCTACTTCAATTAGTACTTTTGAGGATATTATTATATTAGCATTATTTTAGCTCTTAATAGAGATGAACTAATCTGGCCCCACAATTTTAGTGCTCAGGAAGCCAGATCCCACATGGGTGAGGAGCCGGCAGGTTTAAACAAAATCGCACTGGCACATGGGCAAGCGTGCCTCAGATCCCAAGGGCATGTAGACATACAGAAGGAATTGTGGTGTGAGCACATCCCATTGAGGGGTATTTTTCCCCCCTCCCTCTATCTGGCAAGCATCCTCTGGTAATAAAAGAGGCAGCAACAGAGAGCTGGATGGTGGTGTGGTGGTAACACGGAGCTCAGTGAGCTGACCCACATGGGAAGGCTCCAGGTTCATACGAGAACTCCCTGGTCACACTGGGTGCATTCGAGCCCACACATGATCTGGGACTGGCTGAGGTGGAGGGGTAGACTGCATCATAAGACCTTTTCTTTCTCTGTTTCTCTCACTCGTGGAAGAAAGAAACTTTAAGGAGAGAAAATCACTTCCCAAATGGGAGGGGACCAGCAGTTGGCATAATGGCTATGTTGCTGAACTCCCACGTAGTTGACCGTGGTTCGCGTCCTGGACCCGGTGGCTTAAAACTCACACCGGGAACGTGTGCATGTGTGTCCAAGATCCCAAGAGGAGAATGGAAGAGAAGGGATTGCGGCATGGCCATCCCCCCCTGGGGGGTGATTTCTAACTTTCTGTCTCTCTGTCTCTGTCTATCTGGGAGCGCACGCGCCCTATAGCGAAAACCTCTCAAAAAAAAAAAAAGAAAAAAATGGGAGGTCAATTTTGCTTTCCTTCAGCTGTGGGTAAATACAAATACTCTACTAAAACGAAAATCAAATGGGTGTACTGGCTTTACTACAGCAGTCCACTGATTTACTTTTAAGAGAGGAAAACGAATCATCAGTATGAGCCATTTAAGTAAATCAGCAAGGTAAAATACTTTCTCCTAATAAGCCAAAACTGTTCTTTTTTTTTTTTTTTTTTTTTTAAGTTTCTGCTATAGGGTATGTGAATTGCTGGAGAGAAAGAGAGAAAGAAAGTAAAAATCACTTCCCAGAAGGGATGGCCATGCCACAGTCCCTTCTCTTCCATTCTCCCCTTGGAATTTTGGGTATGCAGGTACATGTGCCTGGGTCCAGGGCTTGAACTTTGCAGCTGACCACGTAGGAGCCAGCGCCTTAACCACTATGCCACCTGCTGATCCAGGCCAAAACTATTTGTTTCTTTTTTAAACCTTAAAAAATAAATTTTATTTGTTAAGGTTTTTGCCATAAGGCATATGCACATGCTCACCATAGGCAGAGACAGACAGACACAGTGAGAAATTATTCTCCAGGGGGACGGTCACACCGCAATCCCTTCTCCATTTTCTTCCTGGGATTTTAGGCATGCACACACGCATGCCACCCAGCATAATTTTCAAACTTCCAGGTGCAGGACTCAAACCACTGTCAGCCATGTGGGAGTCTAGCACCTTAACCACTATACCACCTGCTGACCCCAAAACTATTCTTAATCCCACTATCTCTAAGCTGAAAATCACTAACATAGTCTCTTACTTTCTTGTCTTCACAATGAGTGAAAGTGTCTGGCTAATATGTTTCCTTTCTTGTTTTTGGAGAGGTTTTTGCTATAGAGTGCGTGTGCTCGCCAGACAGACAGAGAGAGACAGAGAGACAGAAAGTGAGAAATCACCCCCCAGGGGGGATGGCCACACTGCAATCCCTTCTCCTCCATTCTCCTCTTGGGATCTTGGGCATGCACGCACACACGCCTGGTGTGAGTTTAAGCCACCAGGTCCGGGACTCGAACCATGGTCGACTACGTGGGAGTCCAGCAACATAGCCATTATGCTAACTGCTGGTCCCTGGCTAATATGTTTCCTAAGTCTTTTTAATGCATTTGACTTACAGACAGATACAATTAAAAACAAAAGGAGATACTTACACAACAGGAAAAACTCTGGGGAACACAACACTGGCTTCTGCTAAGTATTCATAAAGAATTCGTTGGTCAAACTCATCTGTGGTATATTTTACAAGTGTAGCCTGCCAAGATGCAAAAAAAAGGTAAACAAGCAATATTTTTACTTTGTGGCTGAATTGTTGTCTATTTTGGTGAAAAGCAGAAGACCTCATCCTTTCATGTTTTTAATATTTAAGGGACTCCTAAGAGTAGACTGGAATAAAAACTTGGGAGGGAAAACCCTCAAAAGGGGAAAATCCTTACTAGAACAGTAAGAAGCAGTGCTTGGATCTTCGGATCAGTAAGTACTTCTTCATCCAAAAGAACATTCGATTCAGACACTGAAACTTTACGTAAGTGCGGGTGCTGTTGTGATGAAGAAATCCTTTGAGTTTCTGCAGCAAATAAGGATGAACAAAGTCAGCTGTATTAAAATGGGATACCTGGATTACCATTTTACTAACACATTTTCATGTTACTTCTAAAACGGAGTAACTTTTTAATAGATGCTTACAGTATCATATAGAATTACTATGCACTTACACAATAGTTTTGGCTAGCTATTTACAACAGTATATATAAAAATATATTTTCAGTTTTACTATAGAGTGTGTGCACTCCCCAGAGTCAAAGAGAAGGAAAGTAAAAAAAAAAATCACTCCCTGATGGGAGGGCTGGCCAAACTGCAATCCCTTTTCCATTCTCCTCTTGGTATTTTGTGCATACATGGACATGCACACAGTGTGTTTTTCAAGCTGCTGGATCCGGGACTCAAACCCATGCAGATGGCCATGTCTTATTTAGTCGCCTTAACCTCCATGCCACCTGTTGGTCCCTACAACAGTATATTATATACAATATATAATTACTTCTTACATGGATTTTATAACTGTCACTTTAAGGACCATAGAGCTTATCTTTCAAAAACAAAACAAAACAAAACAAAACAAAATGTCTCTGTATTTCATCCTAAAGACCCTAAGAAATAGTAAGGAATTCGTAAGGTAAAGATGGCTTTAATGTACTCTCCTGCCTATTTTCAATGATCTAGATCAATTATTAACTTTATTTCTGGGAACCAGCAGTTAGCATAATGGCTATGTTGCTAGACTCCCACGTAATCGACCATGGTTCGAGTCCTGGACCCAGTGGCTTAAAACGCACGCTGGGTACATGTGCGTGAGTGCCCAAGATCCTGAGAGGAGAAGGGATTACGGTGTGACCATCTCCCCTGGGGGGTGATTTATTGCTTTCTGTCTCTATGCCTCTCTCTGTCTGGTGAGCGCATGTGCCCTATAGCAAAAACCTCTCAAAAAAAAAACCCAAAAAAACCAAAAACTTTATTTCTTACCCATTTCATAATCAGTTTCTGCTACTCTCCTCATTTTGGGGGGTGTTGTGATTCCTGATTCCATTTCTTGCCTCTTAGGAGCTTTTGTGTCTGATATCAAGTGATCAAAACTTTTCCTTGTTCCTATAAACAAAAGTTAGAGAACATGGAAGTCCATTAACCACAGTGTCTATTAATAGGAATATATAAAAAGGAAACGTTTGGACATGAGTGCTTAAGCTTTCACTGAAGCACCCAAAGAAAACTCAAACATATCCCTGGAGCAAAATTTCTCTCCTTTATTCTCCATCTTCTCAAAGGGTTTGGGCCCCTCAGTTTTCCATTTCAGGACGGATGTACCTTATTGGTCCAAATCAAAGACAGATTACATTCACTACATTGTAGAGGTAAACCAAACTCCACCAACAGCTACACCTGTTGATAAGTAGAGGTGTATGCACTATTCAGAAACAAACATCAACTGTCTGAACGGCCTTGTTAATCTAAGAAATTCTGATGGTGCCAATAATCAATCATCAATGTATGCAGAATTTCCAAACTTTGGCAAAAATTAAAGTTTGATTTTAATTCCTCACGCTTAAAAAAAAAAAGACATACATGCCTGAAAGTACCAAAGAATAGATGTACTGGGAGCTGTCACTTGGCTTTTAGCTGCTCTACTCAAATGTTAGACTATTATTTCATCTTTCTCTTACGAATTCCTTACAATGTACTATGGCAAAAGTTTCTTCACTAAGTGTGTGTGTGTGTGTGAGAGAGAGAGAGAGAGAGAGAGAGAGAGAGAGAGAGAGTCATCTTCTTTTTAGTTTTGCTATAGCTATAGGGCACATGCGCTCACCAGAGATAAACAGAAGAATAGGGAGAGAAAGAAAGAAGTCATCCCCCATGCCCACACCACAATCCCTTCTCTATTCTCTTGGGATTTTTGAGCATGCATGCATACACATGCCCAGTGTGTTTTTCAAGCCACCAGGTCTGGATTTGAAACACCAAGTTGGCCACGTGGGATTGAGCTGCCTTAACTTCTGTGCCATCTGGTGGCTCTCCACAGAGTCTTGATGCTGTAATCTACTCCTAGTCAGCCCTGGATCATGGGCACACAAGTGCCAGGCATATTCAGGGAGGTCTCCAGGCAAGACCCCAGAACTTTCCCACGTGGGTCAGCTTTCCAGAGCTTCACATCCTACTGCTGTGCCACCATCTAGCTTCTTATTTACATTAGTAAATGTGGGGCCAGCAGTTGGCATAATGACTATGTTGCTGGACACCCATGTAGTCGAGTGCAGTTCGAGTCTCTGACCCAGTGGCTTAAACTCATGCCGGGCATGTGTGCGTGTATGCCCCAAAATCCCAAGAGGAGAATGGAGGAGAAGGGATTGTGCTGTGGCCATGCCCCATGGGGAGTGATTTTCTCGCCTTTTTTTTTTTTTTTTTTTTTTTGAGGGGTTTTTTTGGCGGGGAGGGGGCACCCC